GTGTAGATCATGGAATTTCCACTCTTGGCTCGGAGCAAAAGCTCGGGCCCTTTCGACAAGGGCAGATGCCCGGAGTCACCCACACGATATGCGCCCACATGGTAACGTTTTGCAGCCAGCATCACCTCACGGGTACCAACTCTGACAAGTGCGAGCGCTTTCACAGGCGAGGAAGACACTTCTTTTGGCATTTCAAGGCGTTCTTGTATTACCGTCGTGGGTCGGCCCCGCCGCCAGTTCAGCTCTGCCTCGGCATGCTGCAAAAAAATGGAGCGGAAGCAATTTCTTTCCATCGCATTTTTGTATGCACGCGAGGACGGTAGACAGGAAACATATTCCTCGGTCGGTTCGTTTCTCACTACACTTCTTTTGAGGGGATAAAGCCTCGAGCCATAGGCAGGAGAGAAGGCGCTCACACTGGCAGGCGATAGCAGCAGCGCTGGCCACCTCCTCGCGCACAAAGTGAACCAATACTGTGAAGTCAACACATACAAAAGCACGTCCTTGGATGTGTTCGAAAAGGACAACAAGTCTCTCACCAGCAAAAAGGCATACAAATGACCGCTCAAGTGCTGGTCAAGCCGCAAGAAAGAATGGGTGGTGGTGGAGTCATGCATCGGGGCTCCGGATTGGGTACCGGTATTCCTGATGGCTTGGTCAGTAAAATTGAGGGTCATCGCGAAGGCGCCGAGGACAGAGCGTCCACTAGGAACCGTGTGGCATCTATTAAAAGTGTGGGACATAAACATAGTGTTAAGCCAGACCGAAATACATTAATTTGTAAGGCACGATGCCATCATCTATTTATTGCCGTTGGGAACGGGGGAGTTAATGATATCTAAAACCCGCACATTTTCGATATTGACAACACCGTCTTGAGTCCACAAAAATATGAACGAGGGGTGTAGATAAATAGTAAAATAAATAGTGTGTAAGCTATCCAAGGCATGAAAGGGGCGTTTCTTTTGCAATTGACTGCAAAAAGGACTCGAGATTGAAATTCCGAATGCTTCGCGGGCACCCCCCCGGGCCGGATAATAAGAATTGGGGCCGGGGGGGCGGTATTTGGCGGGGAAATTTATGGCACCGTTTTCGATGCGCATACCACCCACGACAAGATGGTTGACAGTGGAGAATCCATGTTTCATGACCAGTAGCAAAACTTGTGACGTCTATTTTCAACCCGTGTACTACCTTATTCCCGTCCTGCGGGAGGATGCACAGTCTAGCCTGGAAGCAGGCAATGAACGAGGATCTCCGAATTGTATAATCCCGCTGAAAAGCAACCCGGACATGGGAGAGAGGGAACGAAGTATGAACGCAGGTTACTTCATGGTGAATGACTTGATACTTTTAAATGCTTTCTGGGTGTATTTCTGCCCCCCCGCCACGCAAGGTTCACAGCTTTTTGAGGGCGTCCTCTTGCCCTGGAAACACCTGTAACTTTACATACTACTTTGCTGATCATACTTTCCTAAGCGTCTGCCAAATATCAACTTAAGTACCATATCGGTGTCGATGTAGTACATCTGGAAGTTTGCTAACGATTTTGATCCATGGTTCTTCAACCAACAACAGCTCATCAGGGCCTAGGGCCTCCACTGCCACAACGCCTTGGTACCCCAAGTGCATTTTGAAATTCCACGAATCGTTCCCATCATCTTCCTTCACCATTTTCCCGTTCAACTGCTCGGAAACATCGCTGCCTGGAGGAAGCGAGCGCTCCTCTGCCTCCTGCACAAGGCTATCACCACGACTCCTGCGCCGTCCGTGCGTGCCCCCCATGTCGTTGTCTTCAATAGCCTGGATCACCTTGTTTGAGGACACTTGCGCAATTTCGGCCTCCCCTCTTTGCTTCTTCTGCTTCCTAGTCGGTAGCCACTCGTGTTGTCGCTTGCGGGTGCTCGCCCTCTGGGCCAGGGCGGCAGGGTGGCTGGCCGGTAGGATCTGGACGAGTTGGCCAGGAGGTCGGCCCAGGTCCACGTAGCAGACGAAGCCGAAGCCGTACAGGACCACCGCCTGGGGCGAGTCCGGGTTGAAACAGACGCCTACGATGCAGTCATGCCGATCCAAAAGCTCCCGGGGAAGGCGGTGGCCCATGTCCTGAGACCAGTCCGTGAGCCTTTGCCCGGCGGCGTCGAAGACGTAGAATCGGTTTGACACGCAGGCGACCACCAGGATGTCCGTCTCAGGATGGAAGGCCAGCGCCGTCGGGGCCGAGTCCAGTCGAGGGAGTCGCCAGGTCAAAGAAAGGGAGCCCGTGTCCTCCCCGCTGCTGCTCGCAGGGACTGCGTACAGCTCCACGTCCCCATTCCACCGCCCCACCGCTAGCAGCCGCCCGTCCTGGCTGCACGACAGCCGTACCACCCCCTGCCCCTCCTCGCTTTCTAATGACGTGTCTCGGATAGCCTCCTCCACCAGGCTTCCCTTCAAGCCCGCCCTCAGCACCCGTCCTCCACCTGTGCCCACCACCAAGCTTCTCGAGTCGGGGGAAAAGCACAAGGCCTTGACGTCTTTCTCCCCGCCCCTCCCTGCCAAGGCAGGTAGCTTATTTCGACGCAAGAGAACACGGGGCCGGGCGTGTCCGTCACCCCCTCTGTCTACCTCCGCCCCCCCCCCCTCGCTCTCCCCCACCTCCAAGGCAAGGACCCGCAGTGTTCCCGTCGTCGCGTAGGCCAGAAAGCGGCCGTCGGGGGAGAGCGACGACGACACGATCAGCTGCCCCTTGACCGCTTGGATTTCAAGTAGGGGAGATGGCTCGTGTTGTAGGCACAGTGCCGTCTCCTCCTGAAACCCTCCCAGGCCCCAGAGTTGGAGCTTTCGGCTGTGCTGCATCATGAGAAGGCGGCGCCCACGGGCAGAGGCCACGCTCGCCACGGGGTAGTAAGGGTAGGGGGCAATGTACCGGGGCCGGTTGTGCGCGAAACTGGCGACCGAGTACGTGCAAAGCTTGGTGTCCACCCCCCCCGAGACCAGGAGAGAGGACCGGCGCCCCTCGCCTCCCCTCCCCCCCGACCTCTCGACCACCGCCAGGGCGCGAAGGTCGTGGCTGTGGGCCCGGTTAGAGGCGGCCAGGACCCAGGCTTCGTCCTCTGGCGCCCCTGGAGGCTCTCGGGCCCCGGCCTGGGAAGGACGCCTGAGGCAGACCAGCTTACTGTCCACGCCCGAGGCGAAGACAGTGTCGCCGGCCGCGCTCGCCGCCAGGGCCAGCACGTCGGCCTCGTGGACCCAGAACGACTGCTTGAGCGCGCCCATAGCCCCGTCCCAGAAATGGACGGCGCCCAGCGAGTCCCCGCTGACGAGGGTCCCGTCGGAAAGTGCCAGCAGGGACCAGACCAGGGGCGGGTGCGCACTGTTCTTGGCCTCCACCGTCATCCGGTACGCGCTGTGGCCTGTCCGGGCATCCAGGTGGCGAATCGTCCCGTCCACAGCGCCAACAAAGAGGCTGGGGGAGTCCCTGGGAGACGGCGGGGCTTGCCAGGCCATGGAGAGGATCCGAGAGTTCACGGTCGGCAAGGCCCGGCTGAACTCGAAGCCCTGATCCGCGGTACTGAACAGCTTGACCGAGCCGTCTTCACAGCCAACGGCCAGGAGGTCACGGTGAGGGTCCGCCGCCAGGCACCAGACGGGGCCGCCGTAGGAGTCCTGCCGGCGCCGCACCCGCAGGCCTGGCACGTCGATCTCGAATACCGACGTATCCAAGCTCCCGACGAAAAGGCGCCCCTGGGATTCAGAGACCTGCCGCGACCATGTCATGCTGCGAATGAGCCCGTTTCCTCCAGGTACGGGCACAACACCTGCCACTCGAAACTTTTCATCGACCAGGCGAATTTCAACTTCCCCGCTTTCCCGGGCCACAGCAAGCATCCGTCCTGATGCGCACGCGGCCATGCATACGATAGCGCGAGGCTCCCAGTCGAGAAAGCGGCACCTATGAATATACAATAGATGCTGATCCCTCCTTTTCGCCATTAGCTGCCTTCCTTCGATATCCTCCTCCTCGCCTCTCGGCGTCATCGCAGCTCGACCCGCCGTGCCTTCCTGACCTGCTGCGGGATGAAATGACAACCCTCCAGCCCCTACGGCTGCTGCAATCGCACCGTCCGCCTTTTTATCGGGTGTTTCAGGCGGATTATGGAGCGCCGAAACCATCTATCTCATAAACGTAAGAAACATGGGAAAAATGAAGGACAGGCGTTAAACGTGTTGGAAGATACTAGTGACCGGCCCTCTTTAGTAAGGGCTCGACCAAATCATCTCGTTCAGACCTATCCTTGACGGCTCAACGGTATAGTTCAGAATCATCAGCACCACACCAATGCGTCACCCGTACCAGAGCTGGGATATCCCGGTAATTCCAGGGACGTAAGTATATGGGCAAGGGAATGGAGGAGGCTGGAGACACTCGCCTTGTTCTTGCTTCGCGGGAGAGAGGATGTCACTTTCTTAGGAACGATACAAAAGCCAATTTCGGTTGGTAATGGATTGCCCTCGCGGAGAGGTTGTTATACACCAACGCGGTTGTTATGTGGTGGGTGCGCGCTACAGCTTTAAGTATGCGTCTACTTCGGCAGGGATATCTCGAGCATCCCGGGCCCGACGAGTCGTCCCGCATCCAAGCACTTTCTGTGACGATGATGATCGGGCGGAGCAAGCACCATGCTTTTCTCTCTCATCTTCACGTGTTGTCATGAATATCATCCTTATGCCAGAACAGGGCTTACAGGTCCATGCGCGTGTTGCGTGGCGGTGCACTCTCGGAAAAGCCACATTGGGGGTAAGGGATGAGGTCTCCACCCTGCCACCTGCTGACCGTCTACGTCTATTGGGAGACTTTGACGGTATCACGATGCCATCTTACAATCCTTGACCTGATTGGTATCTTTTCAATTATTAACAGACATAATTTGACGATCAGGATTGCTGGCAGCGAAACATGAACGGGCCCCCGTATTTTGGTCCGCCGCGTGGCATGTGAGTCCTTGGGGGGGTGGCAGCGTGTTAGGGTTTCCATGTCCCTTCACTTACGCGTACGCCCCTCACGTTGTGCATGGGCTGCCTCTGGTGTGCTGTGAAATCATTCTGCCTCGTCAAAGCGTGCCATGGACCAACTTGTGTCCCGGTGGACTTCCGCCTGCACACCCGCCTGACATCGTGATGTTCCCGACACCTCCCCCTCATCGAAAAATCCTTTTCGAGCAGGTTCAGCTCGCATTTACATATTTAATTCTCCATTATGGTACACTTTACTCTATACACAGGCACGGTGGCCCGCCTCCAATGAATCACCCACCTCCGATGATGATGGGTGGGCCCGGTGGCTTCCCCCCCCCCGGTTACGGCATGCTCCCCCCGCCACGCCCTGGCTTCGGCCCTCCCGGTAGCGCTCTTCTGCCCCCTCCAACGGTCATACAAGCCCCTATGGGAGGCCTTCCCCCCCTCCCTCCCCCGGTCATGGCCACCCCTGCAGTCCCGCTCCCCCCCGCCGAGGACCCGGCCAATTGGACCGAGCACGCGGGTCAAGACGGGAAGACATACTATCACAACCGTGTCACAAAAATCAGCACATACGATAAACCAGCTTGCCTAGAACCTCCCCGCAAGCCCGCGCCTGTGCCCCCGGGGCCCCCGCCCTCTCTCCCGCCGTGCAAGTGGAAGGAGTACACGACGCCGGAGGGGAAGACATATTACAGCGACGGCAAGGAGTCTCTGTGGGAGGAGCCGGCTGAGCTCAAGGCGCACAAGGCGGAGCAAGCGGCGCTGGACGCGGGGGAGGTAGAGGTGGTGGTTGGCTCGGCCGCCGCCTCCCTCCAGGCCCAGCAGAAGGCGGCGGTGGAGACGATCGAGATCTTGGACGACGGGGCCTCGGACGAGGAGGTCGGGAAGGCGGGCCGGGCGGGCACGAACGGGGTAGCGGCCGCCAAGAGTGGCTTGGCGGCAGTCGTCTTGAAGGCGGCTGTCAAGCCCGAGCCTCCCGACGAGAGGGATGGCCCCCCCAGCTTCGGCACTACCGAGGAGGCCGTCGCCGCCTTCAAGCAGATGCTCTACGACAAGGGCGTGAGCAGCACGGCCAAATGGGCCGACATTCCCAAGATGCTGAGCAAACAGCCCGTGTGGAGCGCCTTGAAGACGGGGGAGAAGAAGCAGGCGTTCGCAGAGTACCAGACCAAGCGGATGAAGGAGGAGAAGGAGGAGAAGCGGGCGCGGGCCCGGAGGGCACGGGACGGCTTTTTGAAGATGCTGGCGGAGTGCGTGCAGATCGACTCCCAGTCACGCTGGCAGGAGGCGGAGGAGCTGCTCAAGGAGGATCCCCGGTTCAAATCCTCGGAGCTGGCGCTGCACGACAAGGAGGACGTCTTCCACGACTTTGTCACCGAGTTGGCTAAGAAGGAGAAGGAGGAGAAGCGCCTGAACCAGAAGGCGTTCGCGGGCTTGCTTCGACGCTACGCGGGCTTGTCGCCCCCAGGGGAGGGGGAGGAGGGGGCGGCGGAATCAGGGGAGGAGGGGCCGGCGTTGAGGCGGGGTATGTCGTGGCGGGAGGCTCAGGCGGTCTTGGATGTAAGGGCGCGCGGGGAGGAGGAAGGTCGGTTGCGGGAGCTGGTGGAAGAGGTGGATCAGAAGCATGCCTTTGAAGACGTGCTGGAGGAGCTGGAGGTGGCCCACCGGGAGCAGAAGCGCTTGGAACGGGAAGAACGCCGGAAGTTGGAGGAAGGGCGTCGGCGGGCGTTTCGGGAGATGTTGGAGGGGCTGGCGGAGGACGGGGTGGTGGACATGAGGAGCCGATGGAAGCACTTGAAGCCCGTGATTGAGAAGGAGGACGCCTACAAGGTGATGATGGGACAGGGAGGCCTGACCGCCGCGGAGTTGTTCGAAAGGTTCGTGGACGATTTGAAAGGGAGGTACGCGGAGGACAAGCGCCGGCTGAGGGATTACTTACCGCGGGCGGGGGCGGAGGTGACCGCGGAGTGGGACCAGGAGACGTACGTGAATGCCATCCTGAAGGCCTTGGGAGGAAAGACGGAGGGGAAGGAGGAGCGGGAGAAGTCGGAGGAAGAGGAGGAGGAGGAGGATAGCGGGGCGGGGTCTAGGGGCTTGGAGAGTGGGAGGCGGACCTCGCGGCGCCTGCAGGAATTCAAAGAGATGTTTGCTCGTCGGCCCAAACACGTGGAGGCGGCTTTCGAGGAGCTGCACACGAGGGCAGTGGAGATGCGGGAAGAGGAGGCGCGACGGCGGGAGAAACGACGGTGCCGGTACCGGGACCTTCTGCTGGAATACTACTGGCGCTCGGACCACGTGGACGTGACGTGGGCGGAGGCGCAGGAGGACTTGGAGAGGCACTCTGCCTACAACGACTTGGAGCCGGAGGAGAGGAAGGCCTTGTTTGAGGAGCACATGGCCATGCTGCAGGCCAAGATGGAGAAGAAGAAGAAGAGCCAGAAGGAGCTTCTCCAATCCAAGGAGAGGGAAAGGGAGAGGGAGAAGGACATTGGGTCGGAGAAAGGGAAAGAGAGTAGTGGTGGCAAGGCGGCTCCGAAGAAGAAGCACGAGGAGAGCAGTGGCAGTGACAGCAGCAGTGAGAGCAGCAGCAGCAGTAGCTCCTCTTCTTCCTCCTCCTCTTCCTCGGACGATTCCTCCTCGAACCAGTCGGACTCGGAAGGCGAGGCTGGGCATGGCGGCAAGCTCAAGAGCGGTTCCCGAAGCGGCGGAGGAGCGAAAGGGAGGGGCCGGAGTGACAAGAAGGGAGCCGTGAAAGCGAGCAAGAAAGCAGGGAAGAAGGAGCCCAAGGAGAGGAGGAAGCGAAGACGCGGAGGGTCGGATGACGGAGAAGGACAGGATGGGAGGGGCACCAGGAAGAACCGAAGCCGGTCTAGGAGCCGTAGCCGTCAGAAGCCGGGTCGAAGCCGTTCCAGGTCGCGGTCGCGCAGTAGAAGCAACGATCGTGCTGGCAAGCGGAAAAAGAAGGCACGCGCCCGCAGTGGGAGTCGATCGGATTGAAAGATGCGTGTTTACGGGTGAACCAGTGTAGGAAAGCACACGTGCGGTGTCTCCACGCATGTAAGGGTTCATACTGGATCCATGCCGCAAAAGAAAATTGGAAGCTGCACCTCAGGCTTGAAAGTGTTCTCTTCTCTGAAGACTAACGTGATGCTTAATCTTTTCTTCCCGATCTGTGAGGACGGCAAAGATGTCTGGCTTTTGTCCGGCAATCTGATGCCAAACTCCTCCGTTAAATAATTTAAACGCTGAATACTCTTACAGAACTCTAAACCTCCATGAATCGGTATGGAAGGTTTCCCCCATTG